GCAGATCTCCCCTCTGAGGACAAAGGCAGAATTTAAAACCTAGCAGAGGTTTATCTAATCTATGCAAAACACATTTTGTCTGGCACTCTGCTTCTAAATGCTCTTTACCAGACCATGGTGTATAAGTATTTTATTCCTTTAAAGTATATAAACAATAAACACTGTAATTTTTCTGGTTAAGAAATTACATAGTTACATAGTATTTGAGGTTGAAAAAAGACATAAGTCCATCAAGTCCAACCTATTGCGTGTATGCATTTATGTTTGAGCAGGTGTGTGCGTGTATATGAGTCCATGTGTGATTTTGCTCTTAGGAGTACCTGTATCCCTGTATGTTACGGTCTCCAAGGAACTCGTCCAAGAGTTTCTTGAATGATTCCACACTCTTAGCTGAAATCACTTCCTGCGGCAGTGAGTTCCAGACCTTAACCGCTCTAACTGTGACGAACCCCTTGCGCCCCTTGTGTTGACATTTTTTTCTCCACCAGTTTTTGGTGGTGGCCACTGGTCTTTGTTATGGCGCTAACCGTAAAGAGTTTGTTAATAATGTTGCTGTCACCATTGAACAGTTTATACAAGAAAATCATGTTCCCCCTTAATCTCCTAACCTCCAAAGAGAACATATTTAATTTTAACAACCCTGTTTCATAGTTCAGGTCCTCCAACCCCTTAATGAGTTTGGTTGCCCTCCGCTGGACTTTTTCTAGCTCAAAGACATCCTTTCTGAGTACTGGTGACCAAAACTGGACTGCATACTCCAGATGAGGCCGAACCAGTGATCTGTAAAGTGGCAAAAAATAATAGGACATCCTGCAAATGTGAAAAATATAATTCCACCTGACATAATAAATATTCTAAAATCAATGTACTTTATAACAGGAAATGCAAACATGTTCTCTCCGTGTGATGAGACTTGTAAGACCTGCAATAAATCTGCCAGTGCCTGCACATCATGTCATCTAGGTAAGTCCATACTTCTGCTTCTTTTTAACAATAATGTCAAAATAAGGACGTTTCTTGGTTAATATGATATATCTTCATAGGTAGATAAATACCTGTATATATGGCCTTGTATATGTTCATAAGAAGCCATATAAAAACGTAAGTGCATTAGGTTCGCTCCACATACAGGGCTTTGAAACTCATCATTTCTAAAAGTTTTAGGGTCTATTCAAACTTGCCCCTTTTGATGTAGCAACACTCAAGTAGAAAGTGTAACTATACTCAAGTAGAAAATGTCAAGTAGAAATCTCATTATGTCCTATGTGGCTGGTTTGCATCAATGTGTTGCAGTTTAGTGTGAAAGATAAAGGGAAATACTATGGGCCCGTTCACAAATACACGTGTGTGTTACCATGTGCAGTGCATGCACACTTTAAAGTGTAACTCCAGTCTTAACAATTTGTGAACTCATAAAGCTTCTTTTAAGAATAAAAATTTTCCTATAAAATGGCTATTAATGACCTACAATTACATGTACAGTATATTTTTATAAATCAGGATCCAAAGAAAGGAAAGAAAAAATGGAGAAAAAAAATACTGTTTCAGCCCACATGAGCATCAAAATATACCAGTGAACATTCTTTTCATAAATATTGTAATGTATTTGTTCAACTTGCAGGGACATTTCTTCACGACGAGAGCTGCATTAAGCCATGCCCGCAGGGGACCTTTAGCAATACAAAGGACAGACGATGTGAAAGATGTTCAGAAGGCTGTGAGATGTGTGCAGAAAACAATGAGTGCCTGAAGTGCTCACATGACATTCTGCATGCTGGGAGATGTTATAAGAGCTGCCCTGAGTAAGAAAACACTTTAAAGCATAGTGTATTATGCAGACCAAATGGGGAATGACAAATATGCTTTCAAAATATTTTTTAGATATTTTCTAGTACCATTTTCTTTATATAGCATTATTTTTAAATAAATAAGAATTGAAGCTAAAGAAATACAAATCAATCAATATCAGAGCTAAAGGATATAAAATTGATTCCTTGTTCATTTAACAACATTAAAAATCAGTCCATCAAGAAGAACAAACAGGATCCCAGCATACACATGTACCAGCGTGTACCATGTGCAATTCAAATGGACAGCTTTTCCAAAATGCTAAAGCAAAGGCTGTATAAATGACACTGTGCTTTATACAGCATTCTGGAAGATCAGGACAGATACGCTAATTGATATTATTCTTGGCACTAGAATAAATATCTAAGGTGACTTGCTATCTTGTAGCAGGGAGGGTAGTCTACACGCAGTCTCTGGAGTTGTAGACACTCACATGAATTCTGGTGTCTGTCTGTGCAACAAATGGGTCAAATAGCAACACATTTATGCACCTATCATAAACAGCAAAAAAAGAGATAGATGGGGCTTTTAAGGTGTCAAAAAATGCAATTAGGGATAATACAACATAGTAATGACAAAATGACATAGTAAAATAACATTTATTTATTAAAAGATTACATGATCCACATGATAAAAATATATATACCCGCTAGTATCAATGATCAAAACAGCATAAAACCTCCCTGGACTCTGTACATGTGCATGATGCATGCATAATAGATACAATTAACTTATTTTATCAATTACATTATAATAAATAATTTTATATAAATAGTCATAATCAAAGTAAGATATACTGCAAGTCTGTACTGCGTCCAGCCTTCTATGCATTTTGCCGAAGCTTCATCAGGAAGTCGGAGGTAACCTTTAAGATTCACATGAATATGCCAATCAGTATATTAATATTTCAAACATAATTGACAAACCAGTAACAAAATGTAACCAATTAAATACATACATAAATACCATAAGTGGGACATTAGTGGTGAGTGGATCCACACAGTCGGGGAGTCATCCCCAGAAACAGTCAAGGACAACAGAGAGGATAGAGAGAGAACCGACGGCGATCAAATATGAGAAGCGCAATCTCTGCCTCAGGAGATCTATAAACAAATATCAATCATAAAGTATAACATTGGGATGCAGCCAGGTGTGAGTGCATAATATAGATGCTAGGAACCAACCCAGATTATTCTAGCAAACTCTAAGGTAGTCAATAAGAGATCCTATTAATGTATGAACTAACATGTACTCCCCTCCTCATAGAGATTAACTTATACTGCACCTATATGCCATATATCCCATTACATATCTGTTAACTAAAGTCTTACTTACACATCAAAACACCGGCTTCCTTTAATTGATCCCAGCCATAGCTCCCGTCTATCTGTATAGATTCCCGCCGCATTGACACACGCCGCCCAACATCGGCGTGTGACCATGCAGCTAGGACTGGCCATCCGTCCGCATATGCGTCCTCATATAGGGCGCATCTGAATGGAGGTGCCCCGCCCCTCCCTTCGAGGCCCCCTCCCTCCCAAGGTCTCTCTGTTTGACAGGACAATGGCAGGAGCCTCCCAACACTGTCCCCTCTCACAGCCACGCTAGGCAGAGCCCTACCTATGTCAGCGTGATGAGAAGATATAACACCATGGGAGAACAGCAATCATACTGCTCCTCCCCCGACAAGGGGGATAGGGCGATATGAAGATGCCGACCGTCCCCCTATGTATGGTAAGGGGGTAGGCCCATCATTACCCATCCCGAGTCACGGGGACAACTCCCAGACAGGCAAACAACCATGGATTCTATAACCTTAGTTATGGAATCCACCCACTGCCATCTACTTGCAATCACAAGGGAGACAGACCTGATGGGGAACTCTGAGAGACTAGTTTCCCATAATGTCCCTCCCACCCCCCTTGTAATTGTCAATCAGAAGGGGGGACCTGATGGAGAACTAGTCTCTCAGCTTTCCCATCAGGTTCTGCCCACTGTCATTCAGTTATGTAATTGGTTGCTAGGACGCTGTTGGCTGTGCAATCAACAGTGCCAGTCTCTGCATGGTGGACACAGCCACATGGTAGCTGCTGGATGTATAAACTGTTTTTAGATGTTTATGTTTTGAATTGTACTTTAATGAACAATTTATATAACCAGATCATTTTCTTTTCCATCATGCACAGAGGCTTCTTTAGCCATGGAGGGGGCTGCACAGAATGCAACAAGTACTGCAACACTTGTGATAAACAACCAGACTATTGCCTGTCATGCCATGCACCTAAAGTTTTGGAGTTAGCTACCTGTAGAAGTGAATGCTCTTCCAAGTTTGTAAATGTTAATGGTGCCTGTCGACACTGTCCTTCCAGCTGCTTGACCTGTGTTGATGAGGAAACCTGCACAGGTACTGTTTATAACTGTTCAGAAATTGGTAGTACTTATTCATATTCAACTGGACTTGTTTAGTATGTTAAAGGTGTTTTACATTTCATGCAAATAGCCTCCCTGGTTCTAATATATCCCAGCATTTATAACCATGCAGGTGACTAATCACCGTGGTGTCATGTAATGGTCAAGGCAGATGTTAATAGTCCAGGAACGTCACAGGAGGTCTAAAAGCTTATGAAACCACCTTGTTCTGTTTCCATAATCCAATCACCATGGTGACACAAAGCCTGGGACAGGTATACGTTACAAGGGCTGATGGTGTGAATTGTCAAAATGCTGGGGTAGAGATGATACAATTTATATATGGGGGTGTTATGTTTGGGTGACCGATGGTTTTGAAAGCCTCTACCACTTAGATGGCCTCTTTCAGACCTTTTGCAAAACAGTTGTCCGCCCTGTCCAAAATGTGTACCTCACCATCCTCTAAAGAAATGAAATCGGTCATATACATTTGCTCAGAAATGTTACTGCCTTACTAACACTTTAGCCATATTGTGTATTCATACATGTAGTATAATACAGATTGATATTAAGATGAATATTTCCCCTAAAAATTAACAAAACAGCATATATATCCAACTCTTTACTATATATGCCCTCTTCCAGAATGCATACCAGATTACTTTCTACATCAAGATAAATGTGTGAGCTCTTGCCCTGAAGGATATTATGATGAAGACAATAGATGTTCCCTTTGTGATCGCATGTGTGCAAAATGCAATGGACCTGACCCAGATGATTGTGAGAAGTGTGCTAGTTCCAGCTTTTTCCTGTATAATGGAGAATGCTTTGGAAGATGTCCACAAGGATCCTTTGACATGTCTGGAGACAAATATTGTCAAGGTAATATATATATATTGTTTAGTTGTAAAAGCTTATGATTGTATCACACCACCCACAAGGTTATATGCGTTCATACAGGAAACTCAGATACCTCAATACCACACTGTAAACACACCCCAGAAATGAACAGACACATCAAGGAAGTCTTATAAGATGATTTTATTTGCAATCAATAATGACAATGATAGCAATGGGGAATTCAGTCTTGGGGAATATAGGAAACAACGTCTATTTGTGGACAGTGCCAGGTGCAATGAAAGGTGAAAGAGCGCATCCTAGATGCCCAAACAGAGTCACATCAGAATGCCTGCCCGAACCCCCCCCCCCAATTTATATGTCTAAAAAAGATA